CGAGGCGGGGCTGCCCAGGACCGGAGCCGAGCGGTCGCAGGTGGGAACAGCCGGCCTAGGCAGCGCTCGGTGCAGACCGGCACCCAGGGGAGCCGGTACCGGGGCTCTGCCAGGAGCGGGCACCGGTACCGGGGGTCGGACTGAACACGGGGTCCGGGGCATTGCCCGGAAGCAGGTCCCGGGAGTGGGGCTGTGCCAGGGAGCGGAGCAGGTGCCTGTACCGGCGGTGCAGCGTTAGAATAACGGGTGTCCCCGGTAAGAGGAGCAGCCGGGACCGGGGCAGGCGCCAGGAGAGGGGGCGTCCCGGTCCCGAGAGGCGGTGACAGGATAGGAGAAGGGTCCCGGGACCAGAAGCGCCGCGTTGCGACCGGAATAAGGGTGTCTCGGTACCGGAGGGCCGTGCGGGGAGCGGAGAGAGGAGCCGCTACCAGAGAGCAGGGCTCAGCCGGGAAGAGGAGGCGAGTTCGGGGCGAGGGGCGCCGGTGCCTGGTGCCCGGTACCGGGACGAAGCGGGAGGAGCACGTTCCCCGGGGCTCGGTCTGTGTCGAGGGGTGCGGCGCCAGGCGCGAGGGTGACGGGCCCCTGGGTGCGGAGCCGGCTGCGGGGGCGCCGTCCCGGTGCCCGGGTGCTGCGCCCCCAGTGGGTGGCGGCACCGGGGAGGGCGGGGGGGTCAATCGTTCCGGGCGGCCGCGGATCCCTCAGCGGCGACGGGGCCGTGGGTGTGAGAAGGAAACGGCACCGACCCGCCCCTGGCACCGCGACCCTCTAAAAGCCCCGGGGCCGCCCCAGCGGGACCATGCCCCCCCCGGCCGCCCGTGCCCCCGGCGACTGAGCGGGGCCGGTGTCGGCAGCGGGGGTCGGTGGCCAGGATGCCCCGGCGGAGCCCGCTCGCCCTTGGCCTGCTCGGCCTCGCCGCCTGCCTGCTGACCGCACCGGCGCTGGGCTGCGGGCCGGGCCGGGGCCCGGTGGGGCGGCGGCGGCTGGGGCGGAGGCAGCTCTCGCCGCTGCTCTACAAGCAGTTCGTGCCCAACGTGCCCGAGCAGACGCTGGGGGCGAGCGGGAAGGCGGAGGGCAAAGTGCTGCGGGGCTCGGAGCGCTTCAGGGACCTGGTGCCCAACTACAACCCCGACATCATCTTCAAGGACGAGGAGAACACGGGCGCGGACCGGCTCATGACCGAGGTGGGGGCTGCGCCCGGTCCGGCCTCGCTCCCGGGGGTACGGGGACGTGCTGGCGGCGGGGAGGCGGGTGGGAGCGCAGCGATCCTCCCCTGGCGGCACCGACCCTCCCGGGGTGCAGGGTCCGACCCACCTCGGGGCCGGCAGCACTAGCGGCCCGGGACGATGGTGCGGTCACACCGCGCTGGGCATTAAGAAGCCGCCGTCGGGGATTAACGGGGCGGTGCCGGTGGGGCGGGCAGCGGGGAGGGGGCGGCCCCGGTAACCGTGTGCCCGGGGCGGGGTGAGGGGAATCCAGGGCGCCGAGAGCCCGGGATGCGCCGCGCCTCGCCCCGCCGGGATGCTCACGGTTGCCATGGCGAGGGCCGGCTCCGCGGTCGCCATGGAGATTTGGGATGCTGCGAGTGGTCCAGGCGGCGGCGGCCGCGGCTCCCGCGGGCCGGGGCGGCGGGGCCGGGGCGGCAAGGCCGGGGCGCGGGGCCGCCCCGGGGTGCGGGCGGCTGAAAGGGCCCTTTGTGGCCGCTCCGGCATTCCCGGAGCCTGAGGTCAGCTCCGGGCTGGAAGGAGCCCATTGTCGCCGGGCCGGGCCGGGCCGGGCACATTCCTGCCCCCCCGCCGCTGCCGCCCCCCCGGCCCCACTCTCCCGGGAGCCGCTTTATTGCACGGGGGAGCAGGGGGACCGGGCTGCGAAGGGACGCTGTGACCTCACCGGACTGGGGGAGCTCTGAGCCCCACAGCCCATGCCAGTGCTGCCTTGGAGCCCTCACCATCACCTCGGCTCTGGGCACTGGGTCCGAGCCCCCCGGTGCACCCCCTCCAAGCCGGCGCTGAGCTCCCCACAGTGCTGCTCAGGGACTCAGGCTTCAGGGTCTGCTGCACCCCCATCTCTGCCCCACAGCTCCCCCGTGTTAATCAGTCACGGCCAGTGCTGCGGGGAAGGTGACACCATCCCTGTCCGCATCCCGTCCCCTGCCCGTTCTGCCTGGCTGCCTGCACACCACGGGACCGCAGGGCATGTTAATGTTTAACCTGCACCCTGGCGGGAGGAAGGCATCTCTGCTGTGCCCGTTTCTGTGCCCATGGGGGCCTGTTCGAGATCTCCCCAAGCCTCTGCAGGCCTGGTGTCCATCTGTGTTTGTGGTACCTGGCACTGCCAGGGGCTTGGGGTGACACCTGTGCTGGTCCCCCCGGCAGCGCTGCAAGGAGCGGGTGAACTCTTTGGCCATCGCAGTGATGAACATGTGGCCTGGGGTGAAGCTGCGGGTGACAGAGGGCTGGGATGAGGACGGGCACCACCTCCCTGACTCCCTGCACTACGAGGGCCGTGCACTGGACATCACCACATCCGACCGGGACCGGCACAAGTATGGCATGCTGGCACGCCTGGCCGTGGAAGCCGGCTTCGACTGGGTCTACTATGAGTCCAAGGCGCACATCCACGTCTCTGTTAGAGCAGGTACCACATAGGTAGGGGGGCTGCCATCCCCATCAGCATCACAGCCCCTCAGCTTCCTCTGCTTCCCCTTGGCATCCCTGATACATGTGGGATGCAGCCCTGCTCTGGTTTGTGTCCAGCACCAGTGGGTTCAGCCCATGTCTGGCCCCCAGCCCTGCAGCCTCACTGCTTCCAGCCCCATAGCCCTGCAGCTCCCAGCCCTTGCAGCCCAACAGCTCCCAGCCCCACTGCTCCCAGCCCCGCAGCCCCACTGCTCCCAGTCCCACAGCCCCGCAGCCGCTCCAGCCGCCAACCCCCATCCGGCCCAGAAATGACAATCGACAGAAAGTGAAAGTGCCCGTAAATGTCACCGTCGCCAGCCCCGAACAAAGGGCGTCAGTGCAGGGCGGACAAAGGGGCCCTGCAGCGCCCCGGGAGCAGCGCAGGAACTGGGGGTGTTCGGAAAATACCGGCTTTGTTCCGGGGGTGGTTTTGGGGACGGACGGGGCGGGGGGTGGCTCCATTCGTGGCCATTTCCCTTGTGGAGGTGGCCAGCGGGGACAGGGCACCCACGGCTTTCCCCACCCACCCAGATAACTCGCTGGCCATCCGTACCGGCGGCTGCTTCCCAGGCCACGCCACCGTGACGCTGCAGAGCGGCGAGCGCCGAGGCTTGGCTGACCTGCGCCAGGGCGACTGGATCCTGGGTGCGGAGCCGGGTGGGCGCCTGGTGCCCACCGAGGTTCTGCTCTTTCTTGACCGTGATCTGGACCAACGTGCCTCCTTTGTGGCCATCGAAACGGCCAGCCCTGCGCGCCGGCTGCTCCTCACCCCGTCCCACCTCGTTTTTGCGGCCCGGGGGGCGGCCAACGCCACCTTCCTGCCCGTCTTTGCCCGCCGTGTGCGCCCTGGGGACGCGGTGCTGGCCCATGGGGCTGGTGGGCAGGGGCTGCGCCCTGCGCGGGTGCTGCGGGTCTCAAGGGAGGACGGCGTTGGGGTCTTTGCCCCGCTCACCTCCCACGGGACCCTGCTGGTCAATGGGGTGCTGGCATCCTGCTACGCTGTCCTGGAGAGCCACCGCTGGGCCCATTGCGCCTTTGCCCCGCTCCGCCTCTTCCACGGGCTCCTCTCGTTGCTGCCGGTGCGCGCCGAGGCTGGGAACGGGACGGTGCCAGAGGCCGGGATGCACTGGTACTCCCGCCTGCTCTACCGCCTGGCTGGGGGAGTGCTTGGCCACGAGGCCCTGCAGGTATAGGGGGTCCCAGCCCCCCGCAGTCACTGCACTGCAGATCACGCTGCACACTGGAAATGGGGGGCTCCAGCCCTGGCCCTCCTTTGAACCCAGGGAGGAGGGATAGGGGTACCCCCGGCCCTGTGCGGAGGTTGGGGTGCCCTCAGCTCAGCTGAGGACAGGGTCTCTGGGATGGGGTGTTATGGGGTGGCCCAAGGACCTGGCCTCAAGCCGTCTCCTGTGTCCCAGAGCGCCCCTGCAGCACTGCCTGGTCCCTGAACACAGGACTCTGTGTGCTCTCCTGCTATTTATTACTTTATTAACCACTATGGCTGGGGCTGCTGCCTGTCGAGCCCAGGCTGGGCACCAACCAGACCCTGCCCCAGGGCTGGATCCAGCCCAGGGGATGCCAAATCCCATCTGGGGGATGCCGAATCCAGTCTGAGGGATGCCGGATCCAGCCTGGGGGATGCTGGATCCACCTGGGGGGTGCCGGGCCCGGCTCTAACCGTGCTAACCGCTAACTCGCTCTGCTTGAGAGGTCTATTTTTCTATTTATAAATGGTAATATAAGCGCTCCCGCCCGCGCCACGGGGCAGGGCCCAGCCCGCTCCTAACCACGACTGTGTCAGAAACAGAGAACCCTGCTATTTAATTATTTGGGTAAATAAAGAGACTCTGTGGCCCTCGTGGAGCCCTGCCTGGGATTGGGGGGTGTCTGGGAATCCCGGTGAGCTGCGGCATTCCAGGGCATGGCGGTCCTGTGGTGGATGAGGCACCCCACCCCGAGTGCAGCCGCTGGGATGGGGGTCCCTGTGTCCGAGCATCCCTATGGCCGAGCGCGGGGGTCTAAGGGGCTGGAGGGTGGGGCACAGGACGCGTGTGCCACCATCCACGTGGCTCCGGCCGTTCCCTCCGGTTTTCATGAATGGAGCCCCAGCGCCCCGCGCGGCCTGCGGGCCCCGCCCCTTTCTCCTCCGCCTGGCCAATGAGAGCGGGCGGGCGGGAGGTGTTGTGGTCACGTGGAGCCGCCGGTGTAGTGGTGGTGGCACCGCCTCCCCGCGCCGCGGCAGGCGGTTTATAACGCTGGTTTCCGCGCCCGCCCGCGTGCCCCCCGCACACCCCACCCCCCCCCCCCCCAGCCGTGGCTGGGGCCATGCCGCTGGTTCGCCACCGCAAAGTGCTCATCCTGGGGTACCGCGCCGTGGGTCAGTGCGGGCCGGGGAGCGCGGGGCGGGCTGTACCCCCCGGGGGGACCCTGCCCGGGGTGGTGGGGAGCGGGGCTGCCCCCATGGCACGGGGGTGCACCGGGGGGTTTCTGTAGAGGGCTCCGTGAGTGCTTCCTGCAGCCGCGAGGTCAGAGCACGACGGGTCCCCGCCCTGCGTTGGGGTTGTGAGGCCGTGCTTAGCTCAGACACCCCCTTCGGGACCCCCCGAGTCCCCCACGCCGTCCCCAGCCCTGTGCTTGTGTGTCCCCGTCCCCCCCCCCAGGCAAAACCTCCTTGGCCCATCAGTTCCTGGAGGGGAAGTTCGTGGAGTGCTACGAGCCCACGGTGGAGAGCAGTAAGTGTCACACTGCAGGGGGGGCCTCCCCTTCCTGCTGCCCCCGTGGGGTCGCGGGTGGTGGGGACTGATGTGTCCCCACTTGTGGACTGTGCCCCAAAGGGGGCTGAGACACCCTCGGAGCGTGGGGACGAGGGAGAAGTGGTACCAGGGAACCCCATTAACCTGGTGCCACCTCCGCAGCCTACGACAAGATGGTGGTGGTGGGCAAGGACGAGTTCCAGCTCCAGCTGGTGGACACGGCCGGGCAGGTAACGCTGAGAGCTGGCGCGAGGCTGCTGGACCTTGACCCCCCCGGACCGCCAGCTCTCAGGTTACTGCCCGGCCGTGTCCCCAGAACGAGACAGCATCCTGCCCCACTCCTTCATCTCGAATCACGGCTACGTCCTGGTGTACTCGGTGACGTCCTGCGAGGTGAGGGGAGGACACGCGCCCTCGGGGGGGGGGGGGGAATGACACTGGTGGGGGCAGTGCCTGGATCTCCCCATCTTCTCCGCAGCTTCCAGGTGGTGAAGACCCTTCACAACAAGCTCTATGAGAGCCGGGGGAAGACGCGGTAGGTGCTGCCCCTCTTGGGGTGGGGGGCGTCCAGGCTGGGTCGGCCCCTCACCCTCCCTGTTCCCGCAGCATGCCCGTGGTGCTGGTGGGAACAAGGCGGACCTGTCCCTGCAGAGGTAAGGGGGGCTCTGGGAATCTTGTCCCCCTGTCCCCCCTCCCCAAGAAGCTGGTGCCATCCCACCTGCCCTCTGCTGTGTCAGCCACCCGGGAAGTGAAGACAGATGAAGGGAAGAAGCTGGCGGAGTCTTGGGGGGCAATATTCCTCGAGTCCTCGGCCAAGGAGAGCCAGGTCTGGGGCACGGGAGGCAGTGCCCTCAGCCAGGGCTGGGTCCTCGCAGCGCTGGGGCTGATGTGTCCCCTCGTCCCCAGGTGACCAAGAGCATCTTTATGAAGATCATCGAGGAGATCGACCGAGTGGACAACTCCTACGGCACATCCACCAGCTGCCGCCTGATGTGACCCTCCCCCGGGACCTTCCCCTCTATCACGGCACAACGGCTCTGGGGCCACCTCATCCCACTTTGCACTATGGGACCCCCCACTTTGCACAGACTGGGGGTGCACGAAGGGCTGGGTGTGGGGCAGGGGTCTATGTCCAACCCCCCCCCTCCCCCCCCCCCCCATGCACTGGGCACCGGGTGACTGCGGGTGCTGCCCCGGCTTGGGGCTGCGGGCCGGTCCTGCCACGCTCGGGGCAGTCGCGGCTGCGGGGCTGGAACAATTAAACTTTGGTTTTGGCTGTGACCTCCCTCCCTCGGAAGCTAGGCTGGGGGGGCCTGCTCCCCCCGGGGTGCAGTGGGTGAGGGAGCCTGTGGGGACCCCCTAGCACCCAAGCATTGGGCCTGAATGGGGCTCAGCATCCCCCCCGGGGAGGGGCTCCGCAGCTGTCTACCCCCCAACCCGCAGCGTGGGCTGGGGGGGGTGTGTGTGTGCGGTTCCCATGTGGCTCATCTGCACCCAGCCAGGCCAATTCCTGCCGCTTAATGATGGGGGTGCGAGGAGGTGCCATAGGGTGTATTGGGGTGCAGGCGAGGGAGGGTTCTGCACTCCCCAGCCCCAGAGCTGCCTTTCCGAACCCCGTCTCTGCCCTCGGTGCCCACCTCGGGGCAGCGGGGTACCGAGTGGGCCCGAGTCCTCCCCCCCACTGGGGGGCGCGCGTGGGGCTCCCCGTGTGCGTAGCCCCGGACGCCCGGTACCGGGAGGGGCTTAGGGCTGTCGGGGGGGGGGAAGGGGGAGCAAAGCGCGAGAGCAGCACCGGTGTCACGGGGCTCGGCCCCTCCCTCCGGCCCCGGTTCACGGGGGTGGGTGTTCTGGGGGGGAGTGGCCTGTTCCGTGCCCGGTTCCGCCCCGCCGTGCCCACGTGCGCGACGCCCGCCCCGGCGCTGCCGGGGTTAAACGTGGCGGAGGGATCCCTCCCTCCCGGCAGCGTGCGCTGCGGCCCTCGCCGTCACACACCCCCCCCTTCCCTCCGCGGCCGCGCACGTCCGGCCCCGCAACGTCTCCCTCCGCCCGAGCCCCCGCCGCTAAGTAGTGCGAGCGCGGCGCCCCCCCCTCCCGCCTGTGCCCCGGCCGCGGGCCCCGGGGGCGCAGCGCGGCGGCCCCGGTGGGGCGGGCGGGGGCGGGCGGGGCGGGGCGGGGGGCGGGCGGCGGGACCTACTTTCCTCTGGAAATGGCCGCGCCGGGGAGCACCGTCCGCCCCGCGCCCCGAGGCCCGTCGGCGTAGGGCGGCCGCGGGGGTAAGTGCGGGGCGGGGGACGGGGGGCGGCCCCGGGGGGGGCTTCCGCGCGGTCAGGACCGGGCCCCAGAGGCCCCGCAACGGGGGAGGCCCCGCGCTCGGCCCCGGGCCGCGGCGCCGCCGCCCGGCCAGGCCTCCCCGGGCCCGGAGCGCGGCCCCCGGCTCCCTTTGTGTTCGCTACCGGCGCCGGTACCGCCCGCGGAGTCGGTGTGGCTCCGGCCTGAGGCCGAGGCCCGGCCTGGCGCTGCGGGGTCCCTGGGCCCGGGTAGGCCGCGACGGGCCGGGGCAGTGGGCCTGGCTCGCTCGGCCCCCCGGGAGGGCCCGGTTGTACCAGGAACGGCGGGAGGCGGCGCGGGGGCTCCGGGGCGGGTGGGGGGCGTCCCGCTCGGTGCTGCATGACCCCGGGGGGAGGGCAGGCCCGGCCGAGCCCCTCCACGGCTCCCCCCCCTCCCCAGCCCCGGTGCACGTCGGAGCCCTTCCGGGGAGGGCGCAGGGAACCCGGGGCGGCCTTAACCCCCAGCCGGGATCGCCGGGGGCGGGGGTCTGCGGAGTGGCGGTGCCGGGACGGGGACCCTGCTCCGAGCGCGGGGATCCGGGGGCTGCCCCATTGCGGGCCCGTTCATGATGTTCTGGGGTGGGGGGGCCCGAACCCCCCGGTGCTGCCCGGTTTGGGGTCCCCTTTGCTGTGTCCCCATCCTTGTTTTGGGGTGTCCGTGAAGCCCCGGTGGGTCAATTCTTGGGGGTGACCCACCTCCTTGCACCCCTTTTGGGACTGTGGGGGGAAACTGAGCCACGGGCTGCTGCTGGTGCTGGTCCTGGGCACCCCCGGTGGAACCTTCCCCTTTAATTTAATCGGGGTCATGCGGTTCCTGTGCAGCCTCAGTGGGGGAACTGTGGGCTATGGGGGGGACTTGGGGACTGGAGGGGTGGGTGGGTGCAGGAACCCCCTTGGAGCTTATGGTCTGCATGGGGAGTGATGCTTCTGCCCCACTGAGATCCCCACATTCGGTGGGGACCTGCCCTGTCCCTTGGGCTAGGGGCTTGGGGGTGCGTCCCTGATGGCTCTGCCCCCCCCCTCCCCCCCCGCAGCCGCGGCCCCCCCCTCCCCCCCCCCCTCGGGACGCCGGAGGCAGAATGGACGAGCAGCAGCTGCCCAGTGAGGAGAAGGACGTGACCACGCTGGGTGAGCGCAGGCTGGGAATGGGGGTGCTGGGGGGAAGGTTTGGTGCCATGTCCCCTGCCATGGGCACTGACACCTGCTCCCCCCTAGCCGATGGGGCTGTGGCCACAGAGGAGATGGGCAGCGCTGAGGGGGACCCCCTGAAACCTCCTGAAGGAGCCTCCGCGGGGCCGGAGCCGGAGGGCACGGAGAGCACGGACACGCAGCGACCGCCCCAGGCCAGCAGGTGAGGAGGGGGGGTCAGAGAGTGACAAGGAGCTGAGGAGGAGGTGGCAGTGCTCCTGACCCACCTCCTGTGCTTGCCTCTCACAGCCTCCCCCTGCGCCGCTGCGCCCTCTGCAACTGTGGGGACTGGAGCCCGCACGGGCAGTGGGAGCTGCAGCGCTTTGAGCCCGCACCCGACTGGAGCCAGCTGCTAGGGGGGCATGAGCCCCCCGAGGGGCCTGAGCAGGGACCCCCGGAACTGGAGCGGGAGCCGCTGGGGGATGACCCGGCCCAGGTCGGCTTCTCGGAGGGCGTGACACTGGCACAGCTCTTTGAGCCCACGGGTGAGCATGGCCACAGTGCCAGTGTCCCCATCCCGCTGTTCCCTACATCCCCATCCCATCATTCCCAGTGTCCCCATCCTGGTGTTCCCATGTCCCACACCTGGTGCTGATGCCAGCTCCCCGCAGGGCACTGCTGGGTGCACCGCTGCTGCGCAGCCTGGGCATGTGGCGTGGATCAGGAGCCGGGAGCTGTGAACAGAGCTGTTTTCTCAGGGATCTCACAGGTACCTGGACCCGGGGCAGGGGGGGGCACTGGTGGGGGCTGCCCTGGCCCCTGTAGTGACCCCCCCGGGGCTCTGTGCCCGCAGCAATGTGAACACTGCCGGCGGCGGGGGGCCACCATCCCGTGCCGGGCCAGCGCCTGCCGCCGCCTCTACCACTTCCCCTGCGCCGCTGCCAGCGGCTGCTTCCAGTCCTTGGAGACCCTGCGGCTTCTGTGTCCCGAGCACGTGGCCGAGGCGCTGCAGATGGGTGCGTGTGTGGCTGGTGCCCCCCACCCTTCATTGGGGTGTCCTGGGGGCCAGAGCCCGGTGTGGGGTGCCCCTGACCCCCTGTTGTCTCTGCGCAGAGGACGTGCGGTGCCTGGTGTGCGTGGGGCCGGGGGACCTGCGGGACCTGGTGCTCTGCACCGGCTGCGGACAGCACTACCATGGGCTCTGCCTGGACGTCACCCTCACCCCCAGCAAACGCTCGGGGTGGCAGTGCCCCCAGTGCAGAGTGTGCCAGGCTTGCAGGTGAGCCCTGTCCCCATGGACACACACACAGCGAGGGGTGCAAGGGTGGGGTCACCACCTTCACACCCCCATGTACCCTGCAGGCAGCGCGGTGACGACTCCAAGCTGCTGGTGTGTGAGGGCTGTGACAAGGGCTGCCACACGTTCTGCATGGAGCCGGCTGATGAGAGCACACCCCCAGTCTCCTGGAAGTGCACGGTGGGTCCTGATTTCACCAAGGGGGGGTCAGGGGGTGTTGATGCCCCCCCCGCACCCCATAACAGGTCTCTGTTTGCCCCCCCCAGAGCTGCCGGGTGTGCTCGGAGTGTGGGCGGCGTGCGGCGGCGCTGGAGCCTGGCTCCTGCTGGTACCGGGGCTTTTCGGTGTGTGAAAGCTGCCACCAGCACCGAGCTGCCAGCGGGGTCCCAGGGACTGCACCGGAGCCCCCCGCCCTGACGTGAGTGTGCATGGGGGGTGCTGGGGCTGGGGGGGGCTGAGCCCTGCACCCCTCACCTTGTGCCCCCCATGCAGGTTGGTGTCCCCCCAGCACAGTGAGGTGACGGATGTGCCCGGCCCCACCCCTGAGCCAGAGCCTGTGGGGTGCAGTGAGGAGGTGCAGGCAGGGGGGCACCCCAAAGAGGGACCCCCAGGTGATGGCGGGGCCCCTCCTGGCAAGCTGACCCCTGTGGAGGTGCCCCCCGATGAACTGCCCCCTGATGAGCCCCCCCCTGACGTGCAGCCCCCCCCTGACGTGCACCCACACCCAGACATGCAGCCCCCCGAGGAGCCCCCTCCTGTTGGGCTGCCCCCCAGTGAGCCACCCGCTGAGGAGCTGTCCCTTGAGCAACCAGCCCTTGATGAGGTCCCCATTGTCAGACCCCCCCTGGAGGAGCTGCCCCCCAGTGAACCACCCCCCAGTGAGCCTCCCCTTGAGCTGCCCTCTGAAATGCCCCCTGAAATACCCCCCTTGGAGGAGCTCTACCCCAGAATCCCGCTCTTGGATGAACTGCCCCCTGACATCCCCGCCCTGGATGAGTTGCCCCCTGATAAATCCCTGCCTGAGGAGTCCCCCCCTGAAGAGCTGCCCCTTGAGCAGCTGTCCCCTGAGAAAAATCTTGAGAAGTTTCCCTCTCAAGAACCACTTCTTGAGGAACCCCCACCCGACGAGCTGCCCCCCAACAACCCCTCCCCTGAGGATCCTCCCCCAGCTGAGCTGTCCCCCGAAGAGCCGCTCCCTAGTGAGGAACTGCCCCCCGAGGAGGACCCGGCGCCACCAGGTAAATGGGGGGGGGGGTGTCTTTTTCTTCCCCCATTTCGCCTTTTGTTTCCTGTGGTTGTGGGGGTCACTGCTCTTGTGTGACCCTCAACCGACCCACATTCATTGCTGCCTGTTGGGGGGTGCCTGGGGGGCAGTTGTGGCAC